AGAATGAGTAGAATGCAATGTACCAGGGCCTCTGTATCCTGAGGATCACTGTAGTCTTCTTAGATCTAAAAGCAGCAGGTATGGGAGATTGTACAGGTTTTGGTCCTGTCCCTGGGAACACGAGTGCCTGACAAAATGCTGAACAAGTGAAATAAAAGCCTCATCTGAATCCCTTGTTGGTACCTTAAAAATTAAAGAGAGGAGATTGGGTAGATATTTTATATCCCTTTCTAGTATTTATGCAAGAAAGGCTCAAGCCCTAAGCATTGATCACCAGGTTGTTTTGCAGGGGACACCTGGGTTAGGTTGATAAGTAGCAAGAAAGTAAAGCAGTTTACATAACCCCCAATGACAGAAATACCTCTCTTTCTGGAGGAATCTGCTTCCTGATCAGTCAATGCTATTTTAAAATTCTTGCTTGGCTCATACTGTTGACTGCCTCTGAAACCCCCCCCCCCCCCTTTCTCCTTATAGTTCCAAGGTCTCCCCTTCCTTTACTCTCTACCCAAGCACTTTGGGATCATTAACCTCACCTTGATCACTCAGTTATAGTCTGAATCAAGTTATTCTCTAATTAGCATATGTGTAATTGCAAGGCCAGGTTGTGTTGTGCTAACTAACAAACTCTTAGTTCCAGTAGCTTTCACACATTGAAAGTCTCTCTCACATACGCTGTTTCCTGATGTTTAGTGGTCCTCCAAGTAATGACCTGGGGTATAGGACGATTCCATCTATGACTCTGCTGGCATGCTGCATGGTTTTCAGGGTGGCAGCTTTTTAAACCCATGGCCTAGAAATTAGCAGTGCTATTTGTGATCATTGCCAATGGCTAAAACTAGTTACATATCTTTAACTGAATTATAAGGGAAACTGGACACTATAGTGGTACACAAGGATTACTTGGGGAATATTGCTATCTTTGCCACTTTACTTCACCTACTAGGTTATATGCTCCTCCACTATAGAAGAAGTGAGAGCAAACATAGGGAATGTAGTTCTCATCTTCTGTGTCCACTATTTAAACCCTTGTATAGTGCTTAAAGATGTTACAGAATGTGGCTGAATATTAGTCATTAAACATTTCTTTTCTTATGAAAGTTAGCCTTCTTAGGATACTGTCCTATCCTCATCTTTTATATTTCATATTCTATATCCCTTAAATCTTATCCAGTCTTCACTCACCCTGGACATGATAATTATTTGGTAAATATGCAGTGCATTTCTGAATGAAGCAATCCATTCATATTAATATATGACCATGACAGAATATTAACTTAAGTCCATTTGAAGTATGAAAAAGTATGTTATTTTTTTAGTAAGATAAACTGTACAACTTGGAAACATATTTGAAGGTTGGTTGATTAGTTTGTCATAACCTTTGAAGATTTGCATGGATATAAATAAAGGGCAAGAAGTTCCACTCTCTTTTTAGTTGAACTTGAATTGACTCCTTCACGTTCACCGTAGCAACCCTGATGATCAACCCATACATAGCTCTGAAGTGTGTGCCAGAACTTTCCAACATTAATAGGGAATACTTATGAGTCTCTCTTAACAAGTTACTGCAAAGCTGATGTAATTTTAGGGTGACATTTCCTTCTCATGGTACACTACTATGAAGGTCTGATTCTAGATTGCAACTTTTGGGGACATTTAAGTTTTCCCCCCAAGATAATATATGGCTAGTCCCTTTTGTCTCCTTCTTACCATGACAGTGATCAATATAGCTTGCTTTGAATCTTTACAGTTTAAACAAAGAAAGTAACTTTCGAAGGCAAATATTGCTGGAGCAGACAACTTTACGTTAATGCATCTTTTCCTTTTGTGGGAATGCAAGCCTTAGCTTCTCTAATATTTAACTGAAGCAGATCCCCATTTGGTTAGCTGTTTAATTGCTCTTCTGTCTAGGCTGGCTGTTACTCTGCTGCTGCTGCTGCTGCTGCTGTAGTATCCACCTATAATTGGAAAGAATTTGCCTTGGTATCCTGCTGGTTTAATCTTGCAAGATTTCTACCTAGAACCCACATCCCACTCAAAATGGGCTTTTTAAAAAATAAGTAATATTATTGCACATTTTATCCTAAGAGATAAATTTTTACAGTACAATTTTATTTTAGCCTTCTACCACAAGAGATTTTATCACATTACTTTTAAATGAACTGAGGCTTGATCATTGATTTCATAAAAAAAGACTTTGGTTCTGTTTAATGGTAGTTAAAAACTTTTGTATAAATTATTTTTTTAACTCATCAAGACAATTTCATATTACAAAGTAGTAGTTATAATTCCTTCCATTTAACTGTTTCAGTTTATTGATACCTCATTAATTATTAAAATGAATTGTAAATGATTGTATGGTTAGATTCCTTTCCAGCTCCAAAAAAGACTTGAAATCAAATCCTCCTTTCAAGTATTTTTTATGGTTTATGGTTCACTTTTTTCTTTACAGTAATTGCTATAGATCTGAGTAGTGAATATAGCATTTGTGCAACTTCCTCCAAAATTTGATCAATCCAGCCGTCCTTCAGTTTTATGTTTCACAGAAATTGCACATTAGCTATGATGGCAGGGCACCTTCAATAACTATACTGGTAATTACTTTTCTGTGGCCCCTTTTGTGACAATCAGTCTTCTGGACATTGATTTGTTTAGTCTGAGGAAATAGAACTTGAGATAAGAGGCAAAGCAATTGTCTAATAATGTATGAGCTAAGAGCCACTTGTATTAAAAAAAATAACAGGACTGAATTTTGTATTTAAACAAGTGAATTATACACTGTGAATCTAAAGCCTGAGTGAAAGTCATTTCTCTACCACAAATATGCAGAGGGAACTCTGCTGGCATTGGAGATGGAGCTTTGGTAATACCACTTCTGTGAATTCCATTAAACTAGTTGGGACAGGATGAAAGAATGCAGGGTATAAACCCCTCAAGGACCTGTGAATCACCATCTAGAAAGGTTCTTGAAAGGGTAAGAACATTTTATAGTTTGTTCAATAGGAGCCTAAGAAGTAGGCTGCAGGGTAAAGACATGCTGCTGATTAAAAACTTTTAGAAACTTGGAGAATTGAATTACTATCCTAAGAAAGTTTCTGAGAGAGAGAGAGAGAGAGAGAGAGAGAGAGAGAGAGAGAGAAGAGAGAGAAGAGAGACAGACACAGAGAAAAAGACTGATTCTGAGACTTTTTTCATCATATCTGAACTACCCTTTTCTTCTAGGTCAAAATTCAGCCAAAGAAGCTATGGTGATAATCAGCTTTTATTATCCCAGACCTAATGGTGAAAGTGCATATTTGTTTATTGACACTAAAACCAAAAGATCTGAGAATTCTCCATTTTTAGAAGTTATCTAAAGGTCTTCCCGATTTTAAAAGTCACCATTTTAGAGGTCACCTTGAAATACCAAATTTTTCCTCAGTGTTCTTGGATGGAAAGCTTAGACTGCCCTCCTGTTGGTGCTCCCTACAATTTATGATTCCCAGATCAGGCATGAACACACCAGTAGGAAAATAAAGGTTAGGGCTATCCTAGAATATGTATCTTTCGGGGAAAACCAGTAAAACAGGTATCCTAGCTGCCCTATTAGCCTGGGTTCTGAGTTGGTGCCAGCCAAAGGGTACTTTTATAGACGTTTCCCAGCCACCCCTTTTAGGCAGTCCTTCTTCTGAGACATTGCATAGTTCTTATGAGGAGGAAAAAAAAGTGAAATAACTTCTTGTCCAGGAATACTGAGTGGTAAAAGCCAACTTCGGGGCTAACAAAGATGCCCTCACAGAAGACAGATGGTTTTCCATCAAATGGGGTATTGGAGTTTGATATTAATAAAGGGATTGAGGATTCAGCTTTTCTTCAGAAAAGTAACTTTTCTAATCATGGATCTTTCTTTTCCATGAGTTGGAATAGTTCTGTAAAGGGAAGGGGAAGACAGCCTACAGCCTCCAGTTCCATGCCCCAGGCAGCCTTCTCTGTCAAGCAGTATGTGGCAGCTAGTCGGGTGTCTGGTAGTTTTCCTTGTGAACTCTGGCCAGCCACAGAGCTTCTTACAGCCTTTTAAAGAGACCTACACAGAGGTCCCGATTAGGCCTGCATTACTAACCTAATACCTCTCTCTGGGGCATCTCTCTTCTAAGATCCTCCTTTAGAGGGTTATTTTGGATGGGAAAAATACAGGTGTGGGCCCCTTGCAGTGAAGGATTTTGCTTGGTGTAGAGAAGCTGTAAGATGTATGTTTGGTGCTTCTAGATGTAGGGAAATAAAGCAAAAGCACTGCCCACCATTTTCTGTCTGCAGTTTGTGTTCCTGTTCTCTGAATGATCCTTTACCTTTCGACCAAATTGTTCCCCTGAAGATCCCAGGGCCCCTTATAACTGTTAATCAAATACAGAACTAAAATGTAGTGAAAGGATGTTGCTCCTGTTTATTGAGAGGTAAAATAAGGATGAAAAGAAAGTTAGTATTGCAATCAAATGCTGTTTTCTTTTAAATTTCCATATCTTAAGTTAAACTGCATTTTCCTCAGAATTAAAAATAAGAATTATAGCTGCTTAATGATAAAAGATCATATGAAATGCTGTGCTGTGTTCAATCTGCAGTTGTTGTAGTTAGTGCAATACCTGTATGACTTAGTGCATTTAGATTCTTAAAACGTGTGTTGAAAGAGGGTTTGCGCCTACCTATCATGCATTTAAATTTAGTGCAAGCCCTTGTTTTAAGGAGTTTTATGTGGTTAGGTTGACATTGCTTAATATACAATTTAAAAAGTTAAGCATAACCTAGAAGTCATTTAAAAGTATGAGTCACTTTCCTGACAAGCCAATAAGGTAAGAGAACCCAGGTTGCAAAACAATTACTAGCCCAGCCAAGGGACCCTGGAAATATATTATGGGTATCAGTTAAGAAAACAAAGCAGTAGTGTCTTGCCACGCTGCAGAGAACAAGCTAAGGTTGCTAACCAGACCAAATAACTGCACTGACAATGCCAATTTTTACATTTGTTTCAGAACCAGGGCCGCTCAAACCACCAGAGGTAAGACTAACATTTAAAAATTTTTATATAACCTTTTCATTGCTAACTGAAGCAGTCTTGAGCTTTTACAATGTTAAATATGCCTTTTAGAATGAACAGAGAAAGTAGAAATGGAGGGAGCAGCCAGGTGCTTGTGAATGAAAGGAATGGTTAAATAGAAGGAATTTTCAGTCACTGTCTGGAACTCTTAGACCAAAGTGAAATTGGAATATGTAGTCTAACACTGTGTGTGCAGCAGGACAGTTTCTGTAGAGGGAAGGCAAGCTCTTATCCCAGGAAGTTGATATATGCTATCTCCTGTCATGAAATGTGCTTCTGCCCAACATTTGCGAGTACTGAAAATTCTAACATTGTTTATCTAAGAATATCGCTTCATATTTCTAGTAGTTTTCCATTTCAAGCACAAATATGATTAGTGCTATGGCCTATTGACCCAGTCAAGATCTGATAACGTTCTGCTTTGGTTTAACAGTGTAACTGTAATGTCTTAGAAATATGTGATAACTTAGCTCCCACAATAAATTTATTTTAAAAAATGCAAAAGAATGAAAACCATGGCTGATTTCAGGTCAACATTGCCTTCAATGAAAATAAACAAATATTTCCCTGTACCCTGCAAAATTACCATAACAAAACCTTTAAAAATAATACCATAGCAGAGAAGAGTAAAATGTAAACAGAGTATATTTCGTTACATGAACCAAAAACCAAACAAACAAACCAAAATAGTAACTGGAGAATTTCAGAATAAAAGAATGACAAAACTCTGTACCAAATTATTTTAACATGTACTATTTATCTGTCTTTAAAAGTGCTATCAATTTCCAGCACCAAACAAAACAAGAAAAACAAAAACAATGTTTTAAGTAAGCTAACATTTATATAGTTGATAAAAATAATGAAACATACAGCAAGATGTCATGAAACACTTGTTTCTACTTTTTTTGCATAAGCACATAGTTTGTACAAGCAGGGCATTAAGAAAGAGTACGGCTGTTCCTGTCTCTGGAATCTTTAGATCTAGAATGTGGGGTGTGCCTTAGAATCTAGGGTCTACTTCAGGGAATGCCTAACAAGATCTTCTTTTTTCTTTTAAGCCACATAAGCCAATTTAGGCTAAAATAAGTTCAGCTAAAATCTCTCCTAGCATTTCCCTGACAGGTAAAGTTTTTCCTGAGGGCTGTTGGGCTTTTCTTCCAGCAGAGGCAACACTCTGGCAAGGCTGCCTTGCTTCACGTACGTTCTCACACAGTTCCTAGATTATGGAGACAGAGTCCTTGTGCAGCTCTGAACTTTAACTCCATGTTACTTAACATTTATCCTGTCAGATATATGTATGACTTTTTCTGAGAATGATGGGCTCATTTTATTTTAATAAGGTGATATGAAGTGGGTGTATTTACAGAAAGAAAGTGTGCTAAAGGAAGTTTAATAATTTTCACATGATATTAATTAAATCTCTCAGGCTCTTTTTATGCTTTAAAAATTACACGTAAGCTTATTAAAAGAATTAATTTTCACATTAATTTTTTTAAATGTCAGCAATTTTTTAGTGATTTGCTTAAGTTTTGAATATAATAAGTGTTATTTTATTTAATTAATGTGTGACTGCACTAATAATCTCTACTTTGGATGGAGAAATATGGTAAAATCTTATGCTGGCCAATTCACTTAGATTAGTTGGTTTAAGGAAGAAGTATAGGAAAGAACATTAAGAAGAGTTTTTTCATCCCATACCAATAGTGCGTTCACTCTCAGGAGTGTCTTTCCCCAAGACACTCTGTGATTTTAATTTCCTCCTTCAATTCAAGGACATTTTTCCTCTCCTTGTACCGGTTTAGAATTCTCTTCTGTTTCCCTTTTAATAGTTATGATTGTGAATTTTTATCTTCAATGATAGACTTCATTCTCAAGATATAGGTGAGTTTTCAATACCCATGGATCTATCCTCACATCCAGCCTCCAGTGAACCTTCAGGACCCACTCTGACTCCAATAAGCATAGCATTGCATATCTATGCAGCTACTTTAAATCCATTCCTTAATGTAGGTTAAAACAGAAGAACCAAAGCTTGCTTCCTTATAGCAAATGAAGCTTTGCTTGTTTTGTTGGTAAAATCAACAAAGAGAATTTTTTTTCCCAAAAAGAGCTAAGAAGACAGATTCTTGGATAATGAAAGTACTTTTTAAAAAACAAAGACAAGGTAACAGGTAACAGGTAACAGGTAGTGAAGCAAGAAATAATTACCAAGTGCTTATAAAATTCCCTTTTGTCCCCCCTGCCTTCTAAGTAGATAAAAGCAGGTTGCAAAGGCTCTGAAGACTGATTCTCATGGTCTGCAGGACTGTACCTGAGAGCTCCCGTGGGCGGCTACTAGATATGTCCTTTTCACCTTCCCCTCTTCTGCTTCCTGGGGACAAGGGCCTATCTGGTTCATCCTAGGAGTTTGAGAATACAAATCAGGAAGGGACAAGGATCACAGAATGACAATTGAGTTTTTGCATTTTAAAGTTGTTCAAATATGCTCCATGTTTTTTAATAATATACTTTTTGTATTATAAATTATTAAAAACTCAAATTCTCCAAATGTACTTGGTTTAAATAGCTGAAATTTCCTATTTAAATTTTTTTCTTCTTTAATACATAGTTCATTCCACTGCTAGCCTTTCCTGTAAAAAGTTTGTTTTCAGAGTGCCTGATTTTCCATGACTTTTCAGGATGAAAATCCTAAAACATAGTGCAGCACATGGCTACAGTCCCAGATCTTCTGCCGGTTTAGGCAGGAGTTTCCCTTGAGTCCAGGAGTTTGGGCTCATGCTGAGTAACATATCTGTCTCCAAATGGGGGGGAAAAACAGTAAAGGAGTTACTAATAAAATTTATCCTTTGTGTGAATTTAAACATTCAAAATTCCACAAAATTAATAATGACAGTAATAATATGCTATCACTTAATCTGTGCAATGTGGCAAGAACTGTTTCAAGCCCTTGACATGAATTAACTCCTTTAATTCTCCCCACCACTCTTATGAAGTGGGGCTTTTATATCTCCTTTTCATAGATGAGGAAACTGAGGCACAAAGTTGCATTTTCCTGCTGACAATATTGTTGGTAGTGTAGTTCCTTTATATAGAGAGCTCCAAAAAATTTTGTACAATTTCGGGTAGTTTTTTCTTGGAAAGTTTTTTTCGTGTTATAGATGCCAGTCTGTGTCCTGCTTCCTCTTTCTGTCCCCTGGCTAGCAAGAGGCCCAGAGTAACATTTTCCTCTCATAGCCACTATCTTTATTTAGTTTTTCCAGTACAGTTATCCATCTTGCTCTACAGAGCTGCAAATGCTGATTTTAATGATCCGATTAGTCTTTTACAAATCCATTTTGAAAGAAGTTGGGGTAAAGATAAAAATTACATTTTTAAAGTTTTGCCGATTTTCTTTCCCCTGAGAAACCAAGAATCTGCTGTATATAGCTTTGACTTAGGCTCTTTGGAAAACTAAAGACTGTATTTCAGACATTTTACTTTTTTTTCATTAATTTTATTGGTACATTTTAGATACACAATATGCTGACATTCATTATTGGGGATCTGTAACTTTACATGATATATCTTGGTTCTTATTTTTTTCCCCATTCCCCTGCCCTCCCTTCAACCTCTCTACCTCTCCCTATTTACAAAGACTTTGTTTCTGTTTTTCCCTTTTCTCATAGTTATTCCTTTCTCTTCCTCTACCCCTCCCACTTCCCCTTCCCCTTTGTACTTTTTTTTCCCTATTTCACATTATATATTATACATTTTAATTCTCATTTACACTTTCAGTTTCTCACACCAGAGAAATTATTTGGTATTTACACATGTGTGTCCTATTTATTTCACTTAAGAGTATGGCCCCAATGTGCACCCATTTAACTATAAATGTCTCTAGTTTCTTATTCTTTATGGCTGAGCAGTACTCCATTTTATTTAAAAAAAACCCCACATTTTCTTTTTCTTTTTTTTTGTTACCGGGGATTGAACTCGTGTCTTTGCTCTTGCAAGGCAGGCAGCAGAACCACAGAGCTAAATCCCGGCCCCTCAACACATTTCCCTTATCCAGTCACCAGTTGATGGGCATTTGGGCTGTTCAGACATTTAACTTATGAATGAAAACAACATCAGAGGAATCCTAAGAAAAATCCATGGCTAATGTGTGTTTTGCCAACTGTGTGTGCTCTGAATGTCTTCACACACAGCACAAACCCAACACACATACAAAGAAAATTGCTTTTGTAAAAATCTGAATTATATGGTAGTCATAGATTCAACTTTTTATCCAGTTGTATAATAAAAAGTTAAAATATCAGGTCCTTCTTAGTGAGATTACTTAGTAGGTGGCAATGAATTTATTGTTTATGAAATCAAATGTATAACCATGCATTTTCTGTACTTTTTGTAATGCACAGTGTATCCTAAGGGATCATTTTCTAATACAATTCAATTTTATGCCCTTCCTCCCCTACCTGCATCCAGTTTGTTTGTTTTTTTACAGTATTCAGACACAATGTAATTAAGGCACCATTTTAATTTAAGTGTTTGCTCACATCAGAGCTTCAGATCTTTGTTTTGAGGTTATTTACTTTCTTCAGTTTCTAGTTGTCAGGACCCAAACAGAGTTGAATGAGAGATTTATTAGGTTAGTTTAAGGCTATTGCTAATGTCTTTGCTGGGAATATTTTCCCACCAAGAATGACTGCCTGAGCTTTGTTCTCCTCTTTCTTGTAGTTACTATGACTTAAAAAACAACCCCACTCAGCCCCTCAAAAACCAAACAAACCTGGGATAGCAATCAAAAATATTTCTTTTTCTTAGTGTTATATCAGTGGCTTATCAAACATGATGATGTTCAAGTGGAAGACCTATTTTAAAATGCTACATTATAAAAGCAAACTTTAAAACCACATTTTGTTCAAATTTAGTTGTGCTTTTAATTGGAAAAAATCCAGCATTCATTGTCCTTCCAAAATGTAAGAGTTAATGTAATTTCATAATGTTAAATAACCAAAACATCTTTGCTTTGCTTTGTTTTATCTTTCTGCACAGAAACGAACCAATGGACTCCGAAGAACTCCCAGACCTGTGGACCCAGGTTTGTTTCTAAGTATACTTTCTAGAATGACTGCAGTTAAGCAATTATGAAAGTTTATGGGGATTGCTGTAGAAAGTTGGGCATGTTGTTGGCCTTTGTTCTTCATGGTCTGGTGCATACACTGTGTGGCCAGGAGGTAAAGGTCTAAATTGTAAATCATTCACATGATGAATAACCCCCAGTACCACGTTCTCCACAATCAACAGTTGAGCTGGTTATTCACTTACTGAACAGCCTCAGGGTGCCTGGTTAATGCTAATGTTCCCAGAAATCTTCTATGTCCTCGTGAATCTGGTAAGAAAACTAAGCAGCAAACCAGTACTTCAAAATCAGCATTTTTTCTAAGGGATTAGGGAAGAGCATACAACTGGTAACCTCCCCATGTGGGAAAGATACTTCATCCTGTATTTGTACAATTTAAAAACAGAAGCATGGTTGTAAGGACTTTGTAAACAAGTGTCCTTTATGGAGACCAATGATTTATCTACAGAAAATATTCAGTTATGTTCTATTTAACTTTGTGAGGTTTGCCCTATCATTATGTTAGTATAATTATATTTTTCATCCATTAAGCAGTGCTTTCCACAGTTTAATTACCAAATATGTTGCTTTGTACATGATTCTCCTATTAGAGGTAAGAGATATTCTCAACTGAGAGATTTCAAATGTATGAACTTGACAGTAAATCAAATGGAACATGAAATACAGAATAGCCTTGCTGAAAAATAATCTGGATTATGTGTTGTGTTTTGTTTTGTTATCATAAGCAATGTTCGCCTAGTTGTAAAGTTTAGTTTTCAAAGCTTTATAGCTTTCAACTGAAGCCACACTCATGGTAGCCCTGCCAGTTTATGAGCTGTCTGAGATTTATAGGAGCTTTGTTGCCTCTGGCTAGAAATTGCCTCACTCGTATCCTGAGATCAGTTTTAATCTTTTAACTACAGAACAAAAAATTGAGGTCATTAAAAAATTGGATTCTGGTTTGTTTTTAATAGTTCTTACTTTTCCAAGACAAAACCCTTTGCAGAAGATTCTGAAATAATACTTAGAAGTGACTTCTTTTATTCTACGTAGTAGGAGTGTATGACTGTGAACATACACATAATACTTTTTCTTATTTTGTGTAAGTTGTAGTTCTATTTCAGAAAATTTTCTAACCTTCATAAATGTTATTTTAAATGCTTTATTTTTTTCTTCTATGGGCATTTTTATTTAGACCATTCCCCTCCATGGATATGCATTTCTGTATTTATAGTGTATCAGTAGGAGCACATTTAACTCTTAACAATTTATAGCAAAGATTTTTTAGAGTCTCTTAGATTATTTAAAGGAAAATATAGTCAGTTCACAGATTATAAATATAGCCAGCCAGCCCATTAATAAAATAAATTTATATTTCTTTTTCCTAAAAGGGATGGTTTTGTAACTCTTCAGCAATTTCTCTTTGTTCAGAGATTGTGGAAATTCATGAAACATAACCTCACAAAGGTGAAAGAAGTAGTGCTGTATGTTATGTTTATGTATAGCATAGTTTCCTATTAGGTATAATTAATTTATATAAATGTATTTCTCATTTTCCTGTATTTAAAAAATAGAAAATGTTCTGGCTATTGAAGCTACAGATGAGGTAACAACCTTTTCTCCCTTTAGCCATCTTTGGATTACACTTGAATTATCTGGAATTATGTCTCCAGTGCTAATACTCTGACTGTTCAAAGGCCTCACTAGATTGGCTTGTAGGAAAAAAAAATGATTAAGCCAGGTGTAGCTGCTCCATCAGGCTCAAATTTCAGAGCTCTGTGTAAATGTAAATTGTGTATCTTTTCTATGGACCTTTCATGTTGGGAAAGAACTTAATGTATAATTCTGTGGGGTTGTAGGTGCTTAACAGATGTTTGTTACATGAATGAATGGATGAGTCTATACTTTCTCTGAAGGCATTGGACCTTTTGCTTTTTCAATTCCTCTTATAGATGTGTTATTAATGTACCATTCCATCATTAGTGGTAGGAAGTACAGCTCTGAGTACATTGCCTTGGCTGGAAACTGGACTTAGCTTTTTACCTACTGTTTCAAAGACATTCAATAATTTTTCCTCTCTGTTTTCCAGTGTCCTTGTCTATAAAAGGAGACTAATACAACAACTTTAGAAAGTGGATATAAACATTTCAGGATTTAATACATATAAAGTACTTTTGATAGTGCCCACTATGTAGTAAATGCTAAGTGATAGCAATTATTATACTAATTAGTTTCTTTTGAAGGATATTATTTACTGATGGACATTTTGTCATGTGAACAATCAGTCATACTTGCCAGCTGTTTCCTTGCAAACAGAACCTGAATTTTATGTTGAATTTCCACCAAAGTAAGAAGTTACGTAATCATAGTCATTCTTTGATTTGCCATTATTGTGCATTATCTAATGGCTTTCATGGTGCTTTGCTTCTCTTTACCAAAAAATAAAATCAACAGTGATGGTTGAGAGTTTTTTGGTAAAATTATTAGTGTTTGTGATTATAATGAAGAAACAAAGAAAAACTCCTAAAGTTGAAAATGTATTTTGTGGCGTTCTCTTCTAACCCAAGAAAAATGTGAGCAATAGGTTTGCTTTGTGGCTTATTGTCATATTTAAACATTAACTCTATTGATAATTGTGATTAATCTGTATAACAGTATTTGCAAGTGACTTTGCACTTTATTTTTTCTTGTCTTCTATTATCTGCTATTAGATTTATCAACTTACAATCTTGACTGCTTTTATAAAAATAGTAATGTTAGATGCAAATTCTGGTAGCTCTTGAATTACTTAAATGTAGCGGTATTTTCATCAGTTTGTACATTTCTTCCTTAGACAGATGTTGGTATCAGGAAAACAACACTTGTAACAGACAGATCAATTATTTCAGGAACACAAAAGTGCTAGGCCTTTTTCAAGAACATGAGATCATAAATCTCAAGAAAATCTGAGAACTGGTGTAATATTTTTCACCTAAAGTGGCACTCAAGGTCAAAGTTACCAATTAAATTTTAATACTGAGCTTTAAAAATTTCCTTCTAGCTAAGCATAGAAGATACAAGATTTATTTCAGTTTTCATGAGGTGAATCTGTATGCCAGGGCATGTATTCTTTCCACGGAGTTCATGTTTTTAGACTATTGCACAATTGTCTTATATTTGTAGAATAGCATTCTGTATTTAAGTCTAGTCATTAGTTTGTAAAAAAATTTAAGCCCTTTTTCTGCCTAAGATTAGATGGAGTGGTTGGGGCATGTGTAGGTAGTTCTCTCCCTTTCTGAGTTTAAGTTACTCAAGTGATTTGTTATAACCTTGAATAGTAAATGTACAGATAATGGTAAAATTGATGAGTCCTTTCAGAAACCTCTGGCTGCTCCTGTGCTCATTGTTAAATTCTTGATTACAGAAAGATATCTGTGTTTAGAAAGGCTGTGTTTTTTTCTTACCCAGGAGATAGCTTAGCAGAGAACATCTTCAAAGATGGTCACTTTCTCTGTTATGCACAGGATTGATACATGTAGTCTTGTATGAAGAAAAGAATTCAAGTAATCTTTCTTTCGCTACCAACTCTGTGTCTTATAAGACATTAAGCATGGCAATGTTATTAATTATAAAACATGTACTTTTACCACAAATATGTATTTATATATAATATATAATTTTATATAATATGTAATTTTATATAATATATAACTTTTTTCTACTCAGGAAAGGAGCAGATAGCAAGCACAAAGTTTTGATTACATAAATATAAATATAAAAGTTTTAGTATCATATCCTTATATATGGATCTATAATGGAATGGTATCTTAAAAACAATAAATAGTCTTATAAGCATAAAAATTCTATAGTCACTTAGTACATGCGAAAAAGCAAAGTGAATCAGACAATATAAGCAAATTGCTTTTAAAATGGCTTATGCATTGGTGTTTATATTTATATAAATAAATTTTTGTGCTGGTTTATTGTATTAAATTAGAATTTAATGTGACTCTCTTTGGTGTTTTAATTTCAAAGGATTATTAAGTGTGTGCCAAATTTGAACAGAATTGTTGGTTTCTTTTAGATTTGCTTTAAACATATTATCAATTTGCTCAATAGAGAAAATTTATATTTTACTTTCCAAATAGTATACATTGATGAGAAAAATAGCAACCCAGTGCTTTTGAACGACTGATCTAAAAGTATACTTTCCTTATTTTTTTAAGGGAAAAATATACATTCTTAAAGATTTTAGTAAACGAGCTTTTGTCTATAATAAATAAGTAGCAGTTACCATAAATTGTAATAGTTCTATATTAATCAGTCAAACCTACTTCTATCTCTTCTGTCACCTCCAAAACTAATTTATCATCAAATATAAATCCTAATCTAAGTATTAGCATACCTGTGAATGTGTAAAAATATATTTCACAATCAAAGAAATGAACTTGAAAAAACTGGGACAGTAGAACCCAGTGATTAAGATTCATTGCAGAGAAATGAGAAATCCAAGCTGTGAACGAATGCTGGAGAGCATGCTCTGGTTTTTAAAGTAGCTGCTTTTTCCCTACCTTCTATTAAACTATGAACAATAAGACTAGTTTTACACTAAGGCAGTTGATCCCCTTGTAGTTATTTTCAGGAGTACCTTTCTAATTCCCTTTACCGTGATAACAGATTTCTGAAATGAACATCACAGTCCCTGGCTTGAGTCTTTTTTGGTTTGAGGATTTATTTCTCCCTTTCTGTTCACAAAGGATCACTGTAGTTGCCTGGCAGGCCTGTACATGCCTTGCCAAGCCAGTCTTTTACATTGCTTAGGTACCTTCAGAATAGGAACAAAGAGGAGATGAATATTCGAAGATGCACCTGGGGGTCCTTTTAGATGGCAAACATGGCATCAGTAACTTGTGTATGCCTGGGGGTGGGGGGTATACTGGGAATTGAACCCAGGGCCTTAACACTGAGCTACATCCTCAGCCCTTTTTATTTTTAAATTT